TAAGTAACTGCAGTGTAGCCGGTGTTTAATATAACGTTTTAACAATAAAATATTTCATGTATTTACGTTCATTTGTTCTTTAATTTGTTGTTTCTTTGACTATTGATATATAATAAAACACTTATTTACTGAGACCTCGGGAAAGCAGTGTGTTTTGTGGACCCTCGACCGTCGATGTTTCCCTCGGCTTCGCCTCGGGAAACATCGACGGTCTCGGGTCCACAAAACACACTGTTTCCCTCGGTCTCAGTAAATAATAATAACTTACTGACCTCCACCGTTCGGGCAGTACGGGAAAATATCCAACCGAGGTCTTGCTGTATTGACCGAGCGATAGCGAGGTCAATACAGCAAGACCGAGGTTGGATATTTTCCCGTACTGCCCGAACGGTGGAGGTCAGTCAGTTTTTTATTATATGGCATTGTACGTTGTAAAAAATGGGAGAAAACGTCACGCCAGGGCAAAGTACAAAGTCCGAAACAGTTTGCAAAACAAACCAATTGTAAAAAATGTTCTCTTGGTTAGTAAAACTACTCAACAGTACTTTTTATATAGAGTACTAAAACAATTTGGATAGTATTTCAAGAAAAATACGAGGTATTTCGTCATTTAATCAAAGACAACAAATATGAAAACAATAAAATTCAATAAAATTACAAAAACAAGAACGTTTTTAGTTCGCTTCATCTCATATTTATGTCTCTTTTTATCTAACAAAAACAGAAATTTTCAGGGAAAAATTATAAATCTGTGGCTGCTTTAGTCGTATATTTTTTATTTACGTGTCAAATTCCTCCTGGCTATCTGCAAATAAAATTTGCAGTTCTTCACATAGTCAAAACACAACAATACCTGACTGCTTTTATAGTTATAAACATTGTAAAATTTACCTTGTAATTTTGACTTTCGCTAACAAAAACGTATGGAGAAAGTTCTTTAACCACAGCAGTTGCTCCTCTTTTTATTTTAGGTTTATTTTTCTTCGTTTTAAATAGTTTTGAAAGACTTTTAGACATTTTTTGCTGTTTGAAACTCTGCTCTCGTCGCAGGGCAATAAAAATTGCATATTGCCCGTGGGCAATACGGGAAAATCCTGCCTCGTCAGCAGCCAATCAAAACATCCAATCATCAAAACAAATGCTTGCCATATAATAAGTGATAAATATTCACCTACTGGTGAATATAACAAAATCGAAATTTTCAAAATGGCGGCTATCCGTTTTGTGTTGAAGTTAGTGATAAACAAATAAGCCAATAATAAAATGAATTCAGACCAGAAAAACACAAAAAAAAAACTTGTGCAAAAATACTAAAACAATTATTCGCCTCAGGCTCGGTGATTATCGGGGAATATTCACCTCGACTTCGTCTCGGCGAATATTCCTCGATAATCACCTCGCCTTCGGCGAATAATTGTTAAATATTCGTTCCAGGCTGTTCAGTCAACATCATGCCACTCAAAACTTCGGTTGATAGGGATGCAACTACCTGAAGAATAGAAGAACGTCGACGAACGTCGACGTTTTGAGTGAAGCTTTGGCTACTAACTTCCCGACGAAGGGTCTTCGCTCGAAACGTCGAAGTTCTCCTTGTATTTTTCAGGTAGTTGTATCCCTATCAACTGACGTTTTCTTTATTATTGGCACTACCTACGTACAAGGAGATATCATCCCACTCATCGTATCAGTGGATTAGATACAACCCGTTGGGTGTATGCATAATAATGGAGACGTTACGATTTAGGACGGCAACGCGACGGCAACGGCCACCAATACAAAACATCATTGAAAAGAATTGAATAATTGCAATATATGAATAATTTAGACATTGTCCTCGCTCTGTTTACAACGCCAAATCACAGATTTTCACGTCTTGACACAACGGCTGCATTTCAAGCCGCAAGAAGTGCAACTTCAAACTGGGTTCAGCAGAACTCTTCCCAACCATAAAACCCATGTCTTCAACTTCTAAGACTGCTGTATTAAATTCATACGATTGATAATATACGACGAATTATCTCTACTACCATTTATTTGAAGTTTGTTTTGGCTGTCGTCGTCGCGTTGCCGTCCTAAAATCGTAAGGTCTCTGTTTCTTGGTGTCTCGATCGGGCGATCCCAACAGCTCAGTGGTTAGAGCGCCGGTACGTCAAACCAGAGAGCTTGTGTTCGATTCGCGATTGGGACACTCAGAAAAATCTTTGGACCAGGAACTAGTCCCCAATCGCTGCTAATCTTGTTTTTTTGTTGTTGTTTTTGTTGCTGCTATTGTTGTTGTTGTTGTTGTTGTTGTTAGGTTGCAACGCTCTGTTAGGTTTGCAAGGCTCATTCGTTTTGAGTCCGATCGTCATGAAATTTGACACGATTTTAAACGATATTCCTCATCAACTGACGGTGGTCTATTTTTTATTTTCGATTTAAGCAATTCTTGTCTGTACGCTTAGAATAATATGCATATCATTAATATTCACAACAAACCACAACCATAACAAAGACAGTCATGGACCAGCGACTAACCAGTATTTGAGTTTATCTAATATTTACCATTTCTTCTAACTTCATTTTTCTAGCTTTTGCAGGAAGGTCCAAGTATAGTTCTTTTCCAATCTGAAAGTCATTTTCAAAATGGTTACTGCTGAAGAATTCTGTAGATTTACATGATTTACATAATTTGGTACATTTCTCATGTGAAAATGTACTACTTTCTACAGGGTGTCCCCCCAAAAGCCCCCGAACTATTGAAATAACGTATTATTACAATTTGCATGCCTCGCGCTCAGCACTCTGCTGAACCCACAAGTGCATAAAAGCTTGACATAAATAAATTTTATGCATAAAGAAACTGTTTAAGAAGCTGCTTTAAATCCCCAAGAGCAGAAACCAGTGCGCTTTACAAAGATATTTTAATTTCTTAGTAAGTCAAAATTTACAATATATACACCCTGTCAATATATTACGCATATCTTTGCGTTCAGCTTAGTGCTAGAGGGCATTCAAATTCTTACAATACGTTATTTCAATAGTGTTTTTTGGGACACCCTGTACGTGATATAATTTTCACAGAACACACATGCAATCATATGTGAAAAGGCTTATACAGATGTTGAACTATATAATATACCAAATATATGTTGAGGTAAATTCTTCATTTTCGTCATGTAACATTTTTACGATCTATTTTAATCTTATAACAATTTTCTCTTTCCTCCACAAATCCGCCTTAATGAAATTTCCGCAGAGCGAAGTGTGTCCGGGTGTGCGGGGAGGCACTCGCTGCGTACCCACTTTTCTCTGTTATAAAACATCATTTAAAGGTGATGTAAAGTCCCAAATGTAAACAAACGCTTTGTTTACATTGGAACTGAGTACCACAGTTGTAAAATATGATTAGATATATATTATAATGAATTTGTAACACTCTTGTGGTTCGCTACGCTTAAAAATGAATACAGACTAGAGATTCATTCAAGAAAGTTTGGAAGGTGTGAAATATTAATAACATTCCAATGGTCGGATCCCAACTACTGGAATGTTAGCGTGTGCAGAATGTATGCGCAGAACGGACTTTACATTGACACCTTTAAACCTCCGCAGAGCGGAGAGGCTCATCTCCATAATTTTGTCGCTATAGTATACGAACCATTTCTATCTTTTTGGCTGCCGAACTCGCGTCCTTCCATGAAGTTATTTCTGATGGATGAATTCCATGATCCTTTAACGTTTTTGCATCAAGCTTGAAGAGAAAAATAGGAACCTCGATATCTATAATAAAAACTATACTTAACATTAATTCAGGTAATATTTTACCTGGGTTGCCTCCAAGGAAGAATCTGTTTCATCTTGCTTGGTTGCATCTGATGGCTGGCTGTTAAGACATTTAACAAAAGCACGAACATTTTGAAACCTTATACAAAATTATCGGAAAGCTCTGTGTCATATATGGGAGTTCTATCAAAATGGCGGGTCAACAAGGCTGTTCGGGATTTCTTGGCCTCCAAAAGAATAGTATCTCAAAACAAATCACATAGATATAGTTTATTAGTTTTTCTCAGTAGTTTTAATACACGCTCTGACGTCGACCCAAAAATATAAATTGTCTAAAAATATGTAAACAAACGCCACACCATCGTACGATGTGACGTAGTAATCTATTACTTCCGGTTTCCTATTTCCGGACACACTCCCCCCATATATATTCCTCTAAGGAGATATATGTTAACCTCTCCTTATGACATTCGAACAAAACAAGAATGTTACTTAAATTTAGCAGTACAACGTCCTTATTCTAACTTTAGAGTTTTTGCAAGTCAGTCATTGTCCTCTTCGTTAAGATTGTTTTGAATTCGTAACCGTGCTGCAGCGGCTGCATCTCTTCGAGGTCTTGGCATGAACTCTGGAGCTGTAGGGTTAAGTTCTAAAGGCAGTGAACGGTCGCATGATAATTCTAAAGGGCTGAGGTGTTGGGTTGCTCGCTCGAGAATTCCGTTGCTTGTTTTGACATTAGCTGCTCGTGTTATCCCATCTCTCCCTTGGATGAGTTCCTCCACAACGCCAAGTTTCCAGTGATTACGGTTCTTTGCATCACCTTTGATAATGATGACATCGCCAATCTTCGGATGCAGAGTCTGTTCGCCTCCGGCTCGTCTGTGCTGCTCTCGAAGTGCACGTACATACTCTTTGGACTAACGACTCCAAACCATCTCCTTGCAACGAGCCAGGTATTTTGCTCTCTTACGGAGATCAATATCAGGGATCTGAGACGACTCCAGGTTCGGTAGATCATTCGGGTTAAGGTTAAGGTTAAGCATAGAGTTCGGTGTGAGCAGCGGGTGTTGAATGTCATCCTCCAAATAGCTCAAGGGCCTGTTGTTAAGTGCTATTTCCACATCGAGGACAAGTTCTTCCAGCTCTGACCAACGCAAAGTAGCGTTGCCAATGGTCTTATAGAAAGCGTTCTTGAACAGTCCGATGAGCCGCTCAAATTGACCGCCCCACCATGGCGCTCGACTTAGGTTAAGGTGCCACGTAACCGAATGTTGAGCCAAGTAGTCGTTGAACTTCTCACTTCTTTGCGCTTCTTTCAGCCACTTCGCCGCCGCCTTGAAGGTGCCACCATTGTCCTACTATGTGTATTCAATCACATAATTTATAAATTTTGTAAATTTTGTAAATTTAAAAGTTCTTTCGATATTAATTCATAGATCAGTAAACTATTGTTGTAATATAATGCCAGTAACACAAGGTACTTTTTAATACTTTTAACTAAAGTTTGTAAATAATTTCGCAATTCGCTTTCATCGAGCGCGACGATTTTTATAATAAACCATTAATAATAATAATATCAGTTTGGGTCTTCCGCGACGGGCAACAAATCGTTTAAGACTGATGATGAATACTTCCGTGTTTAGGGACGGTAGTAGATCTAGGAACAATCCTCGGGTCAAACTGCATCCGTATAATGCAAGATAGGATTTCTTCTCTACTTTCGACTTGGTTCGGTACATTATCGGGCCGGCAAAGTCGACTCCTATCACTTCGTAAGGTGTATTACCACTGGTTCTGGTTCTCGGTAAGTTGCCGGGCTGTGGTGACTGGAATGCCTTGATGCGGAATCTCTTGCATCTCCAACACTTCCCTCGTACTTTCTTCACAAGGCGTCGAAGTCGTGGGACCCAGTACAGTTCCCTAAACCTCGCCATGGTGAATCCAATTCCCCCATGCAATGTCGCGAGATGTGCTTGATGAAGAAACTTGCTTGTGAAAGGACGTTCGTCTTGCAAGTAAATAGGATATTCACCTTCGATGTGTCCTCGACATTCTAAGATTTGTTGCTGGTTAATCTGCAGGTTTAACTGGAGTTTGTCTTTCTCGAATTTAGCTGTGGTCTGTGCATCACGCTGAACACGTTTGTTCCACCAGGTCTTGTGGTTCTCTATTTCGGTTGTTGTAAGTGGACCCGATTCTCTGGTTGCGACCGTTGCCTTGCAGTTGTGAATGAATCGTTGTACCCACGCCCCGATTCGCAAGACCTTGCAAAGTTCATGTTTAGATAACAGTTCGTCGAAGGTGTCACGTTTACGGCCGCCGCGAAGATATCTTTAGTGATCTTGGCTTCAGCATTGCTACTGGCACTAGATATGAGTGTTATGTTCGGTGGCCACTTATCTGGGTCTGCCAGCCACTGAGGTCCATACCTCCAGAGTGGGGCGTCCACCACGCTCCCTCCACGGCTTCCCAAGTCAGCGGGATTCTCTGCGGTAGGTACATGGTGCCGGAGTGTTGACGGATCTTGTTCACTCGGTTGGCAACAAACTGCTTGTACTCGCCCGTACCAAGGATCCAGAACAACGCGACTGTACTGTCCAGCCAACAATGGAGATCTGCTGTAATGGATGGGTTGAATCGCTTGTTGAACATTGGTGATCAAGTTAGCGGCCATGTGGCCGGCTACCAGTTCTAATCTCGGGATTGTTAGTCCACGTTTGGCTAAACGTGACATGGCTTTCACAATATTCTGTGCTACTCCATCGTCTTGCTTCACCACGGCATAAACCACTGCGCTAACGCCTTTCCCACTTGCATCACCAAACGCGTGTAATGTCAGTTCTTGAATTGGTTGTTGATAGGGTGCAATTGATCTTGGTATGGTTACGGACGCTGGCAAGTTGTTGTACCATTTGTTCCACAAATTTTGCAATTGTTCAGGTAGTTCAGTGTCCCATGCAAGTTTCTCATCGCTAATGTCGCGGAAAATCAGCTTCCCAGATAATGTTGTTGGGGAAACCAAACCGAGGGGGTCATACACTTTGGCTAGGGTAGACAAGACTCCTCGTTTAGTCGGCTCCGTCTCCTTCTGCGGAAATTCAATTCTCAGGGTGTTCTCCTAGCTGCTGTTTGGCATATGATAGTTCATCATTTCCGTCTTTCGCGTCGTTGTTCAACTCTAACTCGCTTTCATTGCTGTGCCACTTGTGCAGGTTGAACCTAGCATCTTGGAAGATCTCCTTTGCCTTCGACTTCTTGGTTTGGGCTTCTTGGACGTGGCTCCCCCCAGATAGTAAGTCATCAACATATAGACTTTTACGTATTTCCTCTACGAACTCTGGGTACCGATCTTCCCACAATGTGAGATGTTGATTGATGACCCCACCCAACAGGAATGGAGAGGACGTCAACTCAAATAGGGCTCGAGTAAAACGGTAAACCTCTATGTTTGATTGACCAGGAGGTTTCCAGTGGAATCTAAGAGCGTCGCGTTCTGCTTCCCATATTCGGACCTGTAGAAATGCTTTCTGTAGATCCCCAGTAATCGCAACTGGGTGAATTCGGTTTCTCACAAGTACTGTCCATAGCAAGTTCTGTAGAGCTGGACCAGGGTGTAGACAGTCATTGAGTGATGGCTGGTCTCCTCGTTCTTTCGCCGAAGCGTCATAAACTACTCTCAACTTCGAACTTTCCGCTTGTTGTCTGATTACATCTTTATGTGGAAGGTAAAATTCGTTACCAACAACTAATGCTGGGGCTACCTCAACCACTCCCTGTTCGATCTGTTCTTGAATAACATTGTCATATGCTGTATAATTGTTGTCCCGTTCTAACATCTTCACCAGCTGCTGAAGCCTTCGGATACTTCCGGTCTTGTTGGTAGCTCTGGGTGGTTGCCTTTCCAGGGGAGCCCGGTTTCATACCACCCCTCCGGACTACGCGTCGGCTGCTCCTTGAATTCTTGGTACACTTCGAGTTGATCTCCCGCAGGTGAATCAGCCAAACCGAGCACATCAAGACTACAAAGCTGGTCGAAGTCGACACTCGTGGAGCTGGTAAGCAATAGTGGAGCAGTATCTACTTCTCTACCTGGTGACATAATCGTCCAACC